TCGCGTGCGTCGAAGCGTAAAACGAAGCGCCGCCGCGGCGTTTCGACGCCGATGGCCTTTCGCCTGCGAGATGTTACCCCTATTCGATTATGTTCTTCCCTCTCGCGCCTCCCCTCCCAGCCGGCCTCGAAACCCGTCCCCGTGAACCGTACCCGGGGAAGGACCCCGGCCGGCCACCCATCCGGGCATTAATGCGAGGTCAGGTTGTTTAAGTTAGCGACGCGCGACGGCCCGCGCGACGCTTCGCCGAATTCAGATTAAAAGAAAATAGCCGTGATCGGCGGTCTGCCTAGACGCCGAATCGCTTCTACCTCGCCGTCCGCGCATTTAGCGGGCATTTATTCGATCAGGCAGGCTGATCCGCCGCGACGGATTAATTTCCTTCGATTGGCAATCGGAGTTTCACGAAATACGCATCTCTAACGGTATAGCAGATAGATGGGAGGAACGGACAACCAGCGGGACGGTGTGAAGGAAAATCGGGTCGATCTCATCGGGGGGGACATCTCTTCCGATTATCTTTACTCTCTCGCAAACGATGCATGGCATGCTTTGAGAAATTGTGTCCGGTTGAAGATGTTTATTCACGTATCGTATATATTATGTCAAGCTTTTAGATTTGTATATATTTGTACAATAATTGTTATGTTGCTTATATTTTTACTTCACCCATTTCCGTATGCTATTATACATATGTATATGCATGTAATGCGTGCGCATTGCATATATTGAGACGATAAAATTATTATTATTATTATGTCGTTAAATTTAATTTTATTATTAAATGTTCGCTTCGCAATTATTTGGCTACATAATGCAATATCATTGTACCGTCATATTTATCGAGATGCGTCACGCGAATTTGGAGGGCTCTCTGGTCCTCCGACGCGAAATCGACGATTCGCATTTTAAGTCGGTTTAAAAGCCGATCGATGATCAAATTGGGTTAGGGGCATCGCGAAGGCTTCCACCACGGAGAGAGCCTCCCCGAGGACCGACGACGAATCCTATTGCTTCGATTCTATTAAGAGACAAGAGCGACAAACCCATCTCGGATGGACTTTCGTCGTACTGCATCTCAGTACCCAGAATCCACCTCATATCTTTCCGAGTTCCGGTTCCGCTTGTAAAACCGATACGCATCGCTGATTATCGGAGGTGTTATAAAGCCGGGACAAAGTTGTAAATTACTTATTAAGGTTAGCAGGATTCGGGAGGCGGGACGCGTTGTCGTCATCGTCGAGGACCTCTCCGTGTTCGGTCTAACGACGAGCTTAGAAGGAAACTTATGCTCGGTTGTCTCTAACCGAGGAAGAGCCTCGCGTGAAACGTAATAAGTTGAACGAAAGATTTCCTTCTCCTCTTCCGTCTTCTTCTTCTTAATTAATGGTTTAATCAACTACTTAATCAACAAATATATGTCGATCGGCTACCCAACGCTACCAGTTTCCCTCCCACCTCATATTATGTTTACTTTCGTTTACGAATAATACGCTATATTTACCGTACGCGTATCTCAAGACACACGCGAAGCCGTCGACAAAACGAAAGACTTTCTATTGTTCGTAGATCGCGTCCGACGTTTTATTTAAAGTTCGACCGTCTCTATATTTACCGCGCGCGTTCGATTTCAACTCGATCGACGCGCTCGCGCATGCTTGCTATTTGAATACTAATATTTCCGTTTTATTCGGGTCGAGCTCTTATTTAAACGTTTTCGATACTGCATTTATGTTACGAGCGTACGCTAATTACATTTAGTTTCGCCTTTACAACGGATTGGCATAATATTATTCGCCATTATGGAAACGCGAAACGCTGTTGCACAACTTCCTACAAAGTGGGAAATTGAACTTTCTATACGGGTTGACGCGTATCGTATCGATTTGGCACCGAGTATTAATTACTACATTGTGATATCCCCATTCCGCGCCGTCAAGTTGCTCGCGTTATAAACGCAATAACGATTATTTACACGGGGCGAAACAACACGGGATAGCGTTATTATAACAATTGCATGTAAAAGCTTATCGCAGCTTGAAATCTATATCCTCTTTCCCCTTCGTTACAAGAAATAAATGCAAAATAATTCTAATATAACGCGTTCACATTATGAAACGCGCTAAAGAATCCGTGTACGCACGCACCGGCGATATTTTAACGCTGAAAACATTTATTCGCGAGATTATGCGCACTCACACATCTTGCTTTTTACCGTATACATATGAGCTTATACAACAATAACTGTATGTACATTGCCTGCCAAAAGTTTTCGGATACCATTCTACCTCAAAGTTTGGAACGCACAGTTAACTACGCATTCTACCCTGCAGAAGCGGCAACACATTCATTTCCTACCTTCTCTACACCATCAAAACATGGCAAAGTGTTTATATCTCGAACACGCACAATTCTACTAACTGAGGTGCCTCCAGTAGTTTTAGTCACTTGCTAATATATGCATCCCAAGTCTAGTATGTTATTGCTTTCTATTCATTAGCGAATACTGTGGTTATAAAAGCCAGAATTTGCGAATATTTACAAACTCAAGTCAGATTTTACGCTTCAAATTGTAAGTGATCATAGAACAGTAGCATCTAAAGATTATTAGTATAAAATTATTTTAAAAGACCAGACTAAATTTAGATGATAAAACGTGTGCTACAGTAATGGCTATGTCAAATGATGGACGATCAATGTGTTATCTTCTCGATTACGAAATTTCAGCAGGTGTCTGGAAATTTTTGGTGGGCAGTGTATATATCGCACGGTTTTTGCAGTTAAAAAATTACATTTTTACGTTACGTTACGTTACGTTATTATTAATGGCACAGTTTTATATTTCTATTGGTTCATACTGGTTTATATTTCCATTCTACAACAGATTCCAATGATTATGCGATACGGAGTAGGTCGTTACAATGCAAATATAAATTTTATTCGCGCAAAAAGTTGCACGAATAAGAGATACTATTCATTTCCGCACGTTGATTCATCCGAATAGAGAATTATTCGCGTACAAATAACCCGGCCAGATTTCGATGCGGAATTTTTATTCGAAAAAAAAAAAAGAGATATCGAAATTCAACGCAATATTTCGATTATTCCTTTAATAAATGTAAGGCATTGTTAATTCCCGAGTTTTGAACGAGCCTTATGGCTTATACCATCGTCTCAAGTGAATTTCCGCATTCGATGCGTATTCGATACGTGATAGTCGCGTTAATTTCCAGTCTTACTTTCCTTCCACACTCTCTCGTTATAACTTTCATCCGGATAAAAAGTTAGCGCACATGTGCGGGGCAGATTAACCAATCAGTCTGCGATCATTATCCTACATCGGCAGCAAACGAGAGGAAGTTTCAGCAGCAATTATCAACGACTTTGCAAATAATCCCGGGAGCTTTGTTATCGGAAGAGATTCGACTCTGCGATTTAACGGCCGCGTCGACGGAAGAGCGAATCAAAGTACAGACAAGCCGGCCAATCGACGGGGCTCTCAGCGCAATCGTTTACAGAGGATCGCTTTCAATGGTTCACTGATTGTACGAGTGGTCGCTCGCTCCCGGATTAACGACCATTCTTGGGACCGGCTCGCCAATCGCAACGACGATCGCCGGAGTATCGGCGGCTGGTTCCGTCGAGTTTCCTCGCTCGAGCGCAATTTTGTGAAAGTTTAACGAGCCTGCAGCGGGCGTCGCGCGCGAAAAGCCCGAGTTTCCGCTCGAAAAACGAAGAGACGGCCGAAATTTGGAGATTTATATCGCCCGGTTGTCCTCCTCTTGTTTGTCCGGCGGTTGCGATGCCGTCGCGACTGAATGTCTCTGTTAAACTGCCATTCCTAACATAAAAAGTCCAACTGGATACCATATCAGAATTGAGTGCCAATTAGATGCTAATTTTGTACAGCATACCCGATTTTAGCAGAAATGCACGAAGAAAATTAATTTTGCTGTTATAACGAAACTACACATCCTATACTTCCTTTCATAGTTTTAGTTACAGAAATAGTAGTAATAATATGCATGTAAGATTATTATCAAAATTATTATCACCGACACTATAATAACTAGAAAAATGGTTCTCTTGGTTATAATTCGTCCAATATGATGACTAGAGTTACAAATATAATATAATACCAAGTATTTTTCTCTCGGAGTACCGATATCTTGATTCCTTTTCTCATCATTTCGCAAATTCCTCCGCAGAATTTCAAGTTTGATTCAATAAGGAGCGGTTAATGTCGCGACTAGAACATTGGTAATTGTCATTATAGCCGATAGGTTGTCGAAATTCTTCGATAAATATTCATAAGGCGGGTACGCTTCGCGAAGCCGAGCGCCGTGCACGGAGCGGGAACGCATTGGGGGGGG